TATTATCCGTATCACGTTAATATTATTAAATGCCAACATTGTGTTTCGCGAACATTACATTTTATCAATGCGCATTATCAGGCTGTTCCTCGCCCTGATGAAGTGAACTGCAATGTTCACAAAATGTTGACATTTAATAGTTGTATCGTGACACAGAATAATACGATTAATAAATATATTAACCCTTTTGAAGATAGTAACTGTGAAAACCTCAAAACTATTAATATTAAATAGTGTATATACATAAACATTTTTTTTATAGGTGATCGTTCTTATTACGGTACCTACAATCAGAAGCTTCCGGTCGTTAATAATTTACGAATTCATGAGCGTTTACAGAATTCGCATGTGTTAAAGAATAATCCAACTGATTATACAGGTATACATGGCATTTCAAATGTAGAAATTATCAAATTTGAAAGTATCGGAGATAATTATATGCAATTACCTGCAATGTATCCATGGTCTTCTCTTTCTTGGATGCCATTACAATTTCAAAATTGATTTCTCATATTTTCTGCGCTAATAAATATATCAAACTTATTTATTATGAACTTCTATAAAAGTAGTTAATTAACAGAAAAAAATAATATATATATATATATACACATATACATATATATTTGTTCATCATGTTAGTAAAAGAAACACATAATAATATGACTAAGTAGTAAAAGCTTCTAAACTTTGCCTCTCAATTTTTTTCTTTCCTTTTGTCTTCTTCCCTTCGCATAACATCTGTGCATGTATGTTTGTGAGTGTGTGTTATACATATGTGTGCGCGTTTTTATTATTTTTTTTTATTTGAGTATTGAGACTACAATGTGGTACAATTAAAAAAAACCAAGATAATGTTATAAATCATTTAAATTAAATTCAAGTAAATGATAAAAACTAAATCGACAATGAAAAAAATTAATATTTCAATTATAAATTATATTTTTTATATATTGGATTTTATAAAAAAAGAATGTACTTGCTATTGCGTAAAGAAATCAGGAATATCCAAAAAAATTATGAGAAATTACGTTGCATATAAGTTAAGAAATTGTTTGTTAATTTTCATGTAATGCTTACTAATAACATTAATAACTTGAATATTGATAATTATTAATATTTATATATTTAAAATGAGGAATATTTTATGTAACTTGTAAAAACAAAAGCAAACAAAATTATTTTAAAATATGAGTATAATATACCTAAATGATATTAATAAAATTCGTAATTTTTCTCTTGTAATTTATAATTCAATATTCATACGAATTTTAATAGAACTACAAAAAAGTATACAAAAAGTACATATACACACACACACACACACACACACACACACACACACACACACACACACACACACACACACACACACACACACACACACACACACACACACACACACACACACACACACATATATATATACTCTATATATTTAATATTAAATTCTATATAATATCAAATAATAATAAACAATTTATATTAGGATTACAATTAATGTGCTATATCTTATTTTTTAATGATTTGAAATAACAATTATTTACAATATTTTACGCTATTCAATGTTGTAATTAAGAAAAGAAGACAATATAATGGTATTTTGAATTTATTAGACATATTACATACATAGCAACACAATTCCAATAATATAAAAATAACATATTTTTTTCGAACTATACTAATTTTCTAATATGGCAAGGAATTAAGTATAGTAAATATAACTTATTAAATATGGCAAATGTTTAATACAGTCTATGAAATATTACTTGAAGAGAATATATTTTTTATATCTAATAATATTATACATATAAAATATATATTAATATATTTTTCTAATAAAAAATTATAATTAAAGAAAATATTGTAATTAATCATATTATCTTTGATGTTAAAGATACATACTTGTAACAGAAAAATAAAAATAATACTATTATTTGCAATTAAGCTACGACGGAAAGATGCTATTCTAATCTAATTTCTTAATAATGAAAAAGATAAGTTTTAAATTATTGTGCAATTACTAAAATTTGCATACAGCTTATAGATTATGCTTTGGAAATTTCATTCTGTAATAATCGAAAATCGAAAATATTATCGAAAATACTAAAACTGTAGAAATACATAGTGCATAAATAACAGAAGGCAAAGGCAATGTGTTTTAGAGATCAATGCAAATCTCAATATAGCCAGCATTAATATCATGAATGTTATTTAATTTAAAGTATGTGCATTACATATGTGCGCACAAACTCAAACTAGATTGATACATATTGTACATATGTATAATTCTTTAAAGAGAAATAAAAGTATTAAAAAATATATATAAATTTTAAAAATAGGTCTCTTTCATTTTTCTTTGTTTTTAATAATAATATACATATATAATTTAATAATAATATACGTATATAAACAAATGTTAAATTCAATTAACACAACAAAAAAGTATGCGCCTCCAACGACATCGTTTACGATTAGTATTTCTTTTTAAATTTGAATTATACATGTTAATATCCGAAATAGTTTCACTCAGTAAAGAACCGTGAACTGATATAATTTCATTATCTTGAAACCAATCTGGACTATTATCATGTATTAATGCATAACTGTGTTTTTTATCAATTACTTTGTTTTTAGGATGTGAGTGATTATTTTGATTAGATATAGGCGCAGTATAAGTGGATACTTTTGATTCGTTTCGTACAGAATCCTCATATATATCAATTTCAGAATTAATGTCATGATTTACAATTGTATTGATTATTTTCATAGCTTTATCACTAGGACATATTTTAGCTTCTAAATTTGGTAAATTTAAATCATTTTTTATAAACAATTTCTCTTTTGATATAGCTGTTTGAAATGGAGAAAGCGTGAATTGTATTTTGCTTAAAATAAGATTGCTTTCGTCAAAATCAAAATTAGGCGTTAACGGAGTTTGAAGTTCCTGGATATTTTTCTGAATCTCTGTCTGTACATGTGATAATATTTGTTTTTCCAAAAATATTCTAAATGTATGTTTGCTTAACTCAGCATTTCTCAAATTGATTCTATATCTTCTTTTATACGAAGTGACAGAGTCATTGGCATCTGTCATCATTTTAGATGTGTATGGATGTCCATAAAAAAAATCGGTAGTATCATAATGCCAATATAAAGAACAAAATGAAGGAGGATAATTACTGGAGCAATCAAATCTACTTGTATTCTTACTATTAATATCAGATGGATTCTGCTCAATTGAGACATAGCATTCATTAGAAAGGTGACCTGAATCATTGAAAATCTCTAATAAATTTTTTGCTGCCGATTGTCACTTGCATTCAAAGAAAGTCTGGTCACTTTGTCTGCGATGTTGATATGTTAATGGCACAACTAGTCGACTATCCTTACTTTTGTAATATTCATTAAAATCTAATCGCACACTAAGTAACTGCAGCGATACATCTTCAGCAGAGGCAAGCATTAATAAAAATTTCTTTACACGATCCTGGAGAAAAAAAGATACATTATTAAAAGTGAAATTGATACATTTTTTTCAGAAAAAAGAAATATAAAAAAGTTATAAAAGAAAGTAATATTTTT